GTTGGGGGTCTCTGCCAGTGGGCCTCTCTCCCCCTCCCCATGGCCACACAGTCACACACCCCACCCCCCATTGGCAGCTCAGAAGCTCAGACAGAACAGAGTTTTCTGTTAATAGCTTCTAGGAGGAAACAAGGGGCAAGTGTCCAGGGATCCACGACCCTGTGGCCAGGGGCTCGTGGCACTCATGCTCCCTCACCCTGTCCTTGTCTTAGGAAATGGAGGCACATAGGCTCGAGTGACCCTCAGTCCTCATGACAGCGTGGCACACTCTCCACAACCCTAGTCCACCCGCCTGCCCTTCGCCACCTGCCAAGAGGATGCTTGCCACCCTCAATGGCCCCTCTGCCTGCAGCCTCCCTTCCCCAGCCCCTGAGCCCTCAGTCCCCAGCCTCTGCCTTCTCCCAGCAGGAAGCTGATAGCCAGGAGAAAGGTCAGAGGCCACAGGTCAAGGGTCATGGTGTCCCAGCTGGTCCCTACTTTTTCAGAACCCCTGGGTTCTACAAGAACAGTGCCTGATGCAGTGCCTCAGCCAACACCAGATGATGTGGCCCTGCCCTCCCTTCAGGTGTCCATGCCCTGCCCTCCCCCCAAGCCTCCATGCCCTGCCCAAAAGGGACTTGAGGAGAAGGGCACCTATCAACCTCCGGGGACCTGCAGGACCTGGAAGAAGGCTTCTGCCTCCAGCTTGGGAGCACCCTTCCTTCCCAATGAGAGGCTCATTCTGGTGACCAGGGACAGGTGTGGAGAGCTGATTATCCCAGCTCTCCACGAGTCAAAGGTGAGGTGCTTGCAAGCTACCCCAGGGGCCCAGCCAAGCCTGCATCAGGATGGGCCTGTTTAAGGACTGACAGAGGTCACCACAGCCAGAGCAGGGAAGTGACCTATGATTTAGACTTGTGTTTCTGGCCATGATGGAATCAGAGGAACCTAACTGGCCCTCTGACCCTTAATAGAAAACCAAATAATATATTTTGAAGCCATAGTTTTCAGACACTGGGTGACAGATCACATAGGACTGTCGCCCTGAGCGCAGGGAAACAAACGTGCCCTCTGGGGCCCCAAGCTCCTGCCTGGAGGCAGCCGCCAGAAGACAGGGGCGGGCAGCCCCCATAAAGCCAGGTGGATTTGCTGAGTGGAACAGACCAAGTTTGCTTCAGGAAAACTGATGTAGATAAAACCTGCAGGACACAGTAGCCACAGAGGAGGGTGCTGCAGAGTGAGTCAGCTCCAAAAATCTCGTCTCTGGTTTCCTATTGGTCAGCACTCTACGTAAGAAAACTAGCTGAGGCTGAAGAAAGTACTACAGGAAAGCAGTTGGCTGAACCATACTCAGCACTTGGGTAAGACTGGGCACAGTTTGTGTTCCAGCCATAGTGAGAGGATCTTAGACCGTAGGAGAATCTTTAGAGGTTTAAAAAAAAAAAAAAAACTTTAGAGAGGTATTGCCTCAGTAGTGGGCCAAATTAGTCTTAAAGGCTACTCCGAACTGCTCCAGCAATTTAAAGACAAGACCCAAAAGGATCCAACTTATTTCAAGTAACTATACGAAACCTGAAACTCTTCCTGAATACAACAAAATGCAACTTTCAACAACAATATAAAATTCACCATGTCCAGCACTAGAATAAAAAAAGGTCAACCTAGAATTTTATACCCAATAAAAATATCCTTCACAAATGAAGTGAACGTATGTTTTTTTTTTTTTTTCATCTGAGCAAAAGCTGGCAGAAGAAAATTCCAAGATGTGGACCTACACAAAGAAATGAAGCATGCTAGAAATGATAATAAGTAAAATGCTTCCCCCATGTTGAAACTCTTGAAAATTATTAAAATGAAAATATGTATACATATGTAAAGATAAAATGATAGTATAAGGAACAGCAGAAGGAAATGGAAGCATCTACAGTTGTAGGGTTTTTACGTTCTACACAAAGATTATTTTAAGACATACTGTGATACATTAAGATAGATATTGTCTCCAGGCATGGTGGAGCACGTCTGTAATCCCAGTGGCTTGGGAGGCTGAGGCAGGAGGATCGTGAATTCAAAGCCAGCATTGGCAAAAAGCGAGGCACTAAACAACTCAGTGAGACCCTGTTTCTAAATAAAATACAAAATAGGGCTGGGGAATGTGGCTCAGTGGTCGAGTGCCCCTGAGATCAATCTTTGGTACCTGCCCCAAATATATATACATATATATTTTCAATCCTATTTAAAAAAAAGAAAAGAAAAATGGTACAGCCAATAGTGGAGATTAAATGGGTGGGTGGGGAGAGTACTCAGTTAAGGAAAAGAAAGAGCAGATAAAATAAATAGAAAACAACTAAAGAGATGCATAGGTTTAAATTCAACTATTTGATAATTACAGTAAACACAATTGGTCTAAACACTTCAATAAAAGGCAAAGATTTGTAAAGTAGATAAAAAACCAAATGCCAACTCTATGCTATCTTAATTTAAAAAAAACAATTTTAAAGATAGAAGGTAAAGGTAAATATGTGGAAAAAAAACAAGTCAAAAGGAAGTTGAAGTGGCTATATCAGTATCAGGTAAAGTAGCTCACAGAACAAATAATTTGCCAGGGATGAAAGAGAGACTCTCTCTCTCTCTCTCTCTCTCTCTCTCTCTCTCTCTCTATATATATATATATATATATATATATATATATATACACACACACACACACACACACACATACATACACACACATATACACTTATTTATTTTAGCGGTTGATGGACCTTTATTTCATTCATTTATTTATATGTGGTGCTGAGAATTGAACCCAGGGCCTCACACATGCTAAGCAAGTGCTCTACCACTGAACCACAAGACCCCATACTCTTGATGAAAGGGGCCAATTCTTCAAAAGGACATCACGTTGAATGTGTATTAACAGGGTTTCAAATTTTATGAAATAAAACTGATAGAACAAAAAGGAGAAATAGTTGAATGTTTTAACACTCCTCTCTCAAGAACTGAAATGAGGAGGTAGCGAATCAGTCAAAATATAGACAACCTGAACATTACCAACTTGGAACTAAATGGCATGAGTGGAAGATCCAATAGCACTTGTCCAGAATTCACAAAACATTCACCAAGAAAGCCATACGGTGCACCACAAAATAAGTTTCATAACATTTCAAAAGACTTAAATTCTTTTATTAATATTTATTTTTTAGTTATAGGTGGACACAATATATTTTTATGTGGTGCTGAGGATCGAACCCAGTGCCTCACACATGGTAGGTGAGCACTCTACCTCTGAGCCACAACCCCAGCCCAAAAGACTTAAATTCTTTAAAAAAAAAATTCTGACAAAAGCAGAATTAGAAGTAACAGAAACTTGCATAGAGAATCCCTGATTATCTGGAAATTAAACACCTTTCAAAACTTATGTTATCATGATTTATTTTTTTAAACGATCATTTGTACTGCTGAGTGGAGAACAGATAACAGATAACAGAAAGGGAAGGGAAAAAACAGAGAAGTTCTCTAAGAGACAAGGTTGTCCACGTGTGATGACGATGATGGTCAAGGACAAATGGTGTCAGTGCAGGCAATAAGGTTCAACTTTTAAATGGCAAATAAGATTTGCTCATGGATTGGATGTTGAGATAAAAGAGTGTAGAATGACACCAAGACTTTTCACTGGTCGAAAACAAATAAAGGTTTGGAGGTGCCATTTAATGAGCTGAAGAACACTGGGTGATGAAGAATTTCAGAGTGATGACCAAGGGCTTTGGGCCTGTGAATACCGAGATACTTATTAGACACATCCAAGTAGAGCAAATGGATAGTTGAATTTTGGTGTTGTTGAGAAAGAACTGGACTAAGTATATTTCGGGGGTTCTGTTAGCATATAGGTGTTAGCCTGAATAAGCTCAAGACCGAGTGCAGAGAAGGGAAAACGGAAGCTTGGATCATCCCAGCTCAGCAGTTGAGGAGCAGGTGGACTAAAAGACTGCAGGATTATGGTAATGGTTGCATAAAATCAGTGAGTGTTCTCAAACCCACTCAAGTGTATAATTTAAACTGGCAAATTCTGTGATATGTGAATTCAACTTCAATAAAGCTAGTTTGTGTGTGCCAATAAAACTTTATTAACAGAGTTGTCAGCGACAAAGCTTTAGTTTGTAGGTTCCTGGCCTAGAGGAAGGATCTTCAGTCTTTAACTCTTTCAAGTATTAGGAATACTTTGCACTTGTTGTCTCTGTGCCTAGAATTCACTTCTATGTCACATCCCCAGTGACTTCCTCCTGTTCTTCATTCAAGTCTCTGTGATTCATCTTCTAAAGACTCTTTGTTTCCAATAGCACATTCATCTCTTGTATATGCGATCCCTTTTTATTGCTAATAAAGATGTTTTTTAAAACTGACCAGACTTAGCATTCGGAGGTTACTGTTTACCTTTGGCATAGCAGTTTTGGTGACGTGACAGCGCAAGTGTCTATATGCTCAGATGGGCTTGACTGGAGGACAGGAATAGAGAAATGTGTCAATAGCTACAGAGAGAACAAATTTTAAGAGGGAGATAAAGTCATGTTTGCTCTGTTGTTTCCTATTAGGAATGGTCTAGTAGAGAAGCAAAGATTGATGACACAAGGGACAGGAAATGGCTGGAGCAGTTGTGGTTGCCAGGGGGACAGGGTCTATGCTGGAATCACACAGAGGAAGGGCAGAGCATGCCAACACACATGGGAGGAGGAAAGTGGACGCTTGCAGAAGTGCTAATTGCTTCAGTTTATCAGGGAGCATGGTGACCAGTCAGCCAAGTAAAGAAAGCAGATCAAATGGAGAAACAAGGTTTAAAGGCAACCCTAGCACCCACTTGGTATTGGTGGTCCTGAGTTTAAAGCAAGAATGGTCATCTTGAGTATTTTTTGAGGCACATCTGGTGATGCAGATTTAGGGAAATATTGGGAAGCTGGGTATAAGTGGGCTAGGCTGGGAAAACACAAAGCTGCATTCATGAGAAAAAAACACAACACGGGACACGGTTTATATTGCTGAACACCAATATGTCACTTTATTATTTGGGTTATTTTCCCATTTGTCACATACCTGCCAATGTTTACACAATGAGGAAAATCAACCAGAATTGGAAGCAACTGACCAAATCAGTTGATAATTCTGTACCCTCTTAACACACATCAATTTTCACTTGGTAGGGATATCATCTTTAATTCAGTCTCACGGCTAGTCTTAAAATCGGTGTCAAGATTGTCACATCTTTAAATACAGATAGAATTGCCAGAAGTACATAATTATATGTATATACACACATACAGAAAAATACAAGACTAACTGTTTTCCCACAATATTTAATATACACTACTGTAACTATATGCAACTTTTGAAGACAGGTTAAGGGGTACAAGTAACTGTTTAGCGCAAGTAAGTAGTTTGGTCCAATATTATCTTAATGTAATGGTTTTCCGCTCCCTCCCTTTTATGTGACGACATACTATGACATACAACACATGCACAATCATTCACTTATCAACAAATGAGTTAGACAACACTCAGACAGACAGCTGTATACCCAGAGGGTCACCCAACCACACACAACTAATAAGGCTATAATACAGCTATGCAGCATAAATGGTCAACACTGCTGATCCTAAAGTGAGCACCATATATACATCTGAATATAAAAAACCATTGAAAACCAAACACATGTGGGTTAGTTAAAAGGTGCCATTCCAAGGCTATACATAATCACAGGAAAAAGTATTTACATTACTTGGAAAACAGCTGCAACAAAGAGTTTATTGCCAATGCCCTTTATAAACTTCTCTCCTACGTTTAATACAGATGTTTCGCTCACGATCTATGTGAACCACACATCTTATTTCTGGCCCTTTATATGATCCCTGCTCAAAAGTTTCAAGCAAATATGTTCTATGGCTTCACCCACACATCTATTTTCATAGCTTTCAATGATAAATATCACAATGAACTAGAGCTGTAGCTTAAAACGTATCTAGCTAGCCTAGGTCTAGAAAGTAAATTAAGCATTTTAAGTATCATTTTACTTAGTATAGTTAGATATACTGTGAAGTTCAGAGTTCTGAGTAAAATATATTATTCCTAAAGTAGCAGAGTCAGTTGAGTAGTACTTGAAGAAACCATGACCAACGTAATGCAGCTCTTTGGTGCTCTGCCCACTCTCTCAAGTACGTGACCAGATGCATCTCAGTTCCTCACCTGGAGCCATGACAGGAGGGGAAGGGCCCACAGCCCAGTCACATCCTATTACCAACGTTGATAAGCACTATTTCTAAGACCCCCCCAGGACACAGTATGAAAAAATAGATCTGGCTCCTTCTAAAATTCACAATCTGCAATATATTGCATCCTACAAGAAAGAATGCCAGGAGAGATGATTATCTGGTCAAAGTAGTCTTTATACGGGAATAGTTTAAAGCAAGAGTTCTTTGATTATTGTTTGGCAGGAAATGGCAGGAAAGCAAAGGGAAACACTTACGGGGGGGAGTTACAAAGCAGGCTTTGTGCATTTTTGTTTGCTGTGTGAATTTTACCCTTTCATGTATATTTTTAATCAGCCAATTTTCATGGCTAGCTGAGCCAAAGGATGGAATGGAATGGAATTAACAAAAGAGACAACCTAGTTAACAAATTCCTAAAAAAAAAAAAACTTACTTGTTTTAATTTATGAGTTTTGACTTGCCAACATGTGTGTGCACCTCTGCTTCTGTACTAGGCCCTCCAGTTTCTTCTATCGATATGATTTTGAAGGATTCCCTGCAGCGTGCCCTACAGGAAGGAATTTACACAGAGCATCTTTCTGTTCTGTTAGACAGACATATACTCTATAAGTAGAGTTAAGACATTAATTCACTTTGTCACATTACAAAAGATTGTCTGCTTGTAATTCATCACTACAGGGGAAGCTGCCTTACAAATCTAAGTACTTTATCTCACCTATTACAAAAACAAGAAAATCTTCTTCAGTTAAATTTTAAGAGCCCAAACTTTTTTTTCACACTATAGCTTAAGACAAACAGGTGTGGGTATGTTTAAATCATAGTTCTAAGGTTCTCAGTGCAGATGCTTGCTGTCCTCTGCTCTGCACAGGCCCTGGGCGGCTGGGCAGCATGGGCTCGCACCCAGGCCTGTCGGCTTCACCACGTTATTGCTTTGGTTCTGTCTCAGACACCACAGTGTGCCTCAGAGCACAGAGTTTCTGTATCACAGAAGGTCAGGACAGGAATTTAGATTTTTTTTTTTTTTTTAACAAGGAAACAAAAGCATTTTCTCTCTCTAGGTTAAGTGCAGAACATCAAATTTCTAAGTGCTCCATTTACGTTAGGTTCCAAAGATACATTTTAATTGAATCCTGATCATCCACATTAAAATTATGAATGTAAAAATTACACAGTAGACTTTTCGGCTGGGAAAGAAGAGAGTCTAGCAGCATGCACAAAGACCATGCATTGTCACAGCATCAGGAGAACAAACGAAAAGGTGATAAATAATTGCTCAGAACACCCACTTTCAAAGAGTAAAACAGAAAGGAAACAGTGAAGTGAGCCGGTCTTTGCGGCTCTGAGCAGGAGGTGTGCCAGTGGTCAGTGGGCCGCAGTCAAATGACGTGGCAGCAGCTGGCCTGGCTGGAGGCACACAGCAGCCCCTCCTTAGGGTTCCGCTGAATGTTCACAGAGATGGTCTTTTCACACAGAGGTAGCTGGAGCACGTTATTTTTCAGGTTCCTGTTCTTTATTCGTTCCAATTCAGTGGTGGTATCTGCCATGTGGTCAGAGAAAAACTTTATACTGCCCATTGCGGGGGCCTGCCCTGCATTCCCTGTGGAGCTGATGCACATTTTCCATGTGGACTTTTCCTGGACCTTCACACTGGAAAACGACAAGCCCTTCTGGGGATCAATAATGTACTTGGTGCTGCCGTGAAGCTGGGAGCCGAGGCAGAGGCTCATGAGTTTGAGGCTCTCCACGAGCTCCCCCGCACTGCGCGAGGCCAGCTGCATGGAGTTGCTGGGACCAGCACAGCGGCGCGTGCTGCCTGATGTGTTGGTGGGGTTGCCACCAGAGCCACTGGAGGGGCTGCCCCCACCAGCATTGTTCTCACTGGGGCTGGCCTTGTCCGCCCCTCCACTGCCATTGCTTGGCTTGCTCTGGCCCCCGCCATCCCCCTCGCTGCCAGGGGGGCCCTCACTGCTATCCCGGCGGTGCCAAGAGTAGGTGAACCCGCTATCTTTATCCAGGCGCCTCCGGCTTTCAGAATCATCGTCACTGGTTTCTGAACTACTGCAGCTGGAGCCCCGGCCCTGACTTTTCCTCCGGTGGTAGCGTTTGTGGACAGTCCCGGGGGAAGCAATGTTCATCTTTAACCTGCTCAGCTTGGGAGGCAGATTCTCATCCATGTCAAATTCATCATCGGATTCTCCTTCTTCAAAGATCTGGTTGAGGACAGGAGCACTCTTCCTAGATGTCAGACGGTTGGTCACTGAGGGCTTACGGCGCAGAACCACTTGTGTTGAGAGGGACATGGGTTTCTTATCCTCTTCATCCTCCTCCTCATCTTCCTCCACCCTAAACAGACACTTCCGCCCACTGGCGGTGGGTTTTAAGGTTGTGGGTGGCACCGTGGAGAGTGCTGGTCCAGCCAACTCCTGCAGGTCGTCTTTCTTCGCTGAATCACACAGGCCTTTGCTCCTGTGGCCATTAAGGACATTGTCAGCAGCCCGCGCAGGAGACTGGGGAACAGTCGCATGGGACAAAGGTGTAGCCGTGAGGTCATCCTCAAGGTCCTGGGGTACATCGATTTTGGTTGGCCATGACTGCCTGTGTAACAGATGGGAAAAGAAAAGAGCCATTGAGTCACATGCACACATTAGTAAGGGACACTATGAAAACTTACTGGGACAAAATCTACAGACTTGAAACGGAAAAGCAGCAGGAGCCTTGAAAACCCATTTCACATCTGCAAACATCAGCAAGGACGCCAGAAGGGCAAACATCACTTGAAACATGGACAAAGGGCAACTTCATCATAGGCATCAGGAAAGAAAATGGGGCAAAGACCAACTGCATCTACATAAAAGTTTTATGCTACAAGATAAATCTCTTGAGAAAGCACAAGCTTTTCAAAACTTGAACAGCACATGTATTTTGTTCCTTTAAAGTTACATTATTGCTAGAAAAGATTCACCTGGAATTCCCAGTACTGATTTTACATGATGGGGCAAAAGCTGAGCATTAATACAAATAAGTGGAAATAGTTTAAAGGTGAAGTATAATTAGCATATGTGCATCTCCTCTCCAATAAAAAACACTAAGTGTAAATAAGCACATTTTGGGATGTCCACACAAGTGTCCTAGATAGAAAAACTGACTTATTATTTAAACCTTGATTTTATTCTTTGATTTAAAGTCACCTAAATGATGAGAACATTGCCTGGTGGCCAAAGAGAACTTACGAAAATGAGGCTCTCTAGCCTCTGTTTTGAAAAAACATGTTTCAATTCTCAACTGTCCTCTCTGCCCAGAGGAATAGTAGATGCCAGAGACATTTAAAACAGTCATTTTCACACTGTGACATTTTCATTTCACACCAATTTTTGTAGCCTAAAAATAAAACCCAATTAAATCTATAACTTTAAAAAACTGCCTAGGGATTTTACAACAGACATCCTTACCCCAACTCAGAGCCTCATCCTACCCTTCAAGGAGGAAGTAAGCTATCTTTCAGAGCCACTGCAGGTACTTTGTAACAGGTGAGTGTTTAATAATATTTTTAAGATCAAGAGCATCTCTGGAAAAATCATCTTCCATCGACACAATCATACAAGCTCTGTGAGCAGTGTGGCCCTGCACAGTGGAGCTATTCCAAACCTGAGCAGCTGCTCAGACACCCCAGCACACACTGAGCAACTCCCTGTGGTGGCACATGAGGTACTTTATGAACTGCGGTCAATCAATGTGAGAATGAGAATAAGATACAGACCACACACAGGTGGATGGCTTTCCTTCCTCCAACTTAAAGCCAAAATCCACCCTGAGAGTCCACACCCAGAAACAAGGATAAGTGCCTCAGCTGTAGGGGGCAGTGTCCTTGAAAGTTGTTCCTCAACCAATGGCTGTTAATGTGAGATAATCAAAACATTAAACAACTCATATATTGAGTACAAATCTGCACTCAACACTGTAAAACTAAGTAAGTAATCTTTATAGCCATAGCAATGGGAGAAAAATCATCTCAAAGACAAAGCAAAACTGCTAAAAAAAAATTACAAATGAATCTTGAATGGAAAGTTCACATGACTGTGTGTTTACTAGAAGCCAGTCAGTGCTACAAGAGCCATGCAAGACTAATTCACTGAACCCCACAACAACTCAATGCTATTATTTATCCACCTTTTAACAGATGAAGAAATCAAGCCACAGAGTCACCTAAGTTTACACAGACTTGATGACAGCAACCTCAGATGATATCATGATTATTAACCCCCTCAGTCTATGCTTCACTCTGCAAACTACAAAGCCTGGTAGAACTACTTTATTAAAGATGAAAGTGGTGATCAGACAGTTCTAACAATGGGAGCAAACAAAAAGCCTGGTCTTAGACCTTAATGTATAGTCATTTGTTTACCCCTCACTACAATCCCAATAAGTAAATAGTACTATACCCATTTTACAGATTAGGCAACTACATCACAGAAAAGTCAAGCAGCCGATGAATTGACTAGCTGATCTGACTGCCCAATACCTAAAATCCTGAGATAGCATAGATGGCGCAAAAATACCCTATGTATCTTTAAAAATTATTTTAAAAAAAAGAGGGAAGGGCTGGGGATGTGGCTCAAGCGGTAATGCGCTTGCCTGGCACACGCGGGGCGCTGGGTTTGATCCTCAGCACCACATAAAAATAAAGATGTTGTGTTCACCGAAAACTAAAAAATAAATATTAAAAAATTCTCTCTCTCTTTAAAAAAAAAAAAAAAAAAAAGACGAGGGAAAATTCAACATTGTTCCTGGGATAAAAACTTAAGAAAGCAACACATGTCAGATTTGGAAGAATTTAATGAAAACAACTAGCAGACATACTGGCTAGAGGCTGTTTCTCCAACAGTTACCTACCCCCACCATCCCCCACTGAGCCCAAGAAGGGAAGCAGCTGGTGATGAGAGAACCAAGACCTCAGGTGCCCCCAGCAGACCAGGTCTGCCCTCTCCAATGAGGCTGCCATCACTGTTAAGACCCTCTCACCCTAGAGTTAGGAAGCATTCACACAAAATAGTTCACTATTTCAAAACGTAACTTACTAAAATCAGTGAAGACATTTTTCTCACCTAAACTGGGCCTTGATATTGCTAGGGCTGGCAGATCTAGTTTGTATTTCTTTTTCTTGCTTTTCTCTCAGGATCCTTTCAGCAAGCAAGAAGTAAGTGGCCGTGATGTGGTTATACCTGTTGGTTTCCAGTGCTCTGAGAAAAACGAGATGAGAACAAACATAAGCTAGAGATAGGCTTTTTTTTATAATTAGGGAAAAAAAAAAGTACAAGCAAATGAAATTCATTTGGGAAGCTTTAAAAGTATGCAAAATGTAAACCAGAAAAACAAACAAATTAGGTCACTCTTGAAAGTCTAAAAAATAACTGCATAAAAATATTCATTTTCAGTGGGAGAAAAAACAAAAAAAACTGCAGATAGCAGCTGGGCTGGATGTCAGTTTCAGATCCATAAGAAAAAGTAATGGTGCTTCTAAGAACATAAACATTATTTGAAAATTAACTTGTATGTAGTGTATTTGTTAATTTCTTCCATTAAAAGAACAAAATGAAGCCAGGTGTGGTGGTACACACCTGTAATCCCAGTAGCTCAGAAGGCTGAGGCAGGAGGATCGCAAGTTCAAAGCCAACCTCAGCAACTTAGTGAGGTCGTAAGCAACTCAGTGAGACCTTGTCTCTAAATGAAATACAAAATAGGGCTGGGGATGTGGCTCAGTGGTCAAGTGCTACTGAGTTCAATCCCTGGTACCAAAAAAACCAAAATGAAGACAAAGTCTGTGTTACATGAATGTGCACTGAAATGATAGTATCAAAAAAATTAGGAAATGTTATTTTCACACTCTACGCTTATTAGCATTTTAGGTATTACAGAATTGCTACCATCAATTAATTGAAAGTATGTCACTGACCTCTTCTTTAAATAAAATCAATATATTTTATTTACTCATCTGTTTAAATGGTAATGCTTGCAGAGTACCTCATCCGTGCAGGCACTGTGCTGGCTAGGTATTGGGGCACAATGTCAAACAAGGCACATGGTCTGTCTGCTTTCCTGTGGCTGGCCTGTCATGGGACATACCATGAGTGTTTCAGAAAACCCCTACAAGTCCCAAAAAGATGTAACTATGATTTTCAGAGACTTTGCATTTAGCGAAAAAAGACAATGAAGACTTTAAGAAAAAAATGATTCCAAGATCACTTTTTATAAAATATGCAGGGGAGAAAGAGAAACAGCCAAAGGGAGGTGGGACGGGGCATAGCAGGGCAGGGCAGGGCCAGAAAGGAAGAGGCCAAGGTGAAATTCAGGGGGCAGAATGACTTCTCAGAGTTGTTTTTTCAGCTGACTGCCAAAGGCGGCAGTTAACAGTGTTCAGGGGACATACTATAAGTCTCAGGGCTTGCCCTCAAAATGAGTAGCTTCTCCATAACATGAGCAGCTGGAAAGAAGTAAGACTCACTCAGAAAGCAGTGAGTGACCTTGGGTTTCCCAGCTCCTGCTATGCTTGGGAAGCTAGTGAATGGGCAAACTGCAGCTACCTGAACCATTTCAACTTACATCTCCTTTGAATTTAAACTAAATTATATGATTAATTAAGTAGTTCTATATGACACAACTATGTATGGTTATTTGTATTTAAGTTAAGAACACTGAGCCAATTCAGGAAGAAACAAACAGCTTTTACCCATTCAAAATAAAAAATCATTTTCTACACATTCCTAAAGTGATTGTCCCCAGCAGAAATGGAAAAATGTTCTCTTCTCTGCTTAAGTCATCTGAGTAGCTATGGGTTGATCTATGAAGACTCATGATATACTTTGGCAATCTGCAGACATTTGTACTTAAACTGAGAACCTGGATTTATTTTTGTATATCCTTTTTCCAGTGTACTAAAAATACCCTCATGGTGGTACATATCTGTAATCCCAGCTACTCTAGAGGCTGAAGGAGGAGGACTGTAAATTCGAGGCCAGCCTAGGCAACTTAGCAAAGTTAAAAAAATAAAAAGGGTTGGGGACATAGTTCAGTGGAAGAGTGCCCCTTGGTTTCAATCCCCAGTATTGAAAGGAGGAGGAAAAAACTCACCCTTAAGATATGTCCCTTATACAGACCCCACCCTTCTTAGAGACTAGTCTACTGCTGGTGCACCCCCAAATGGCCAACACATGGCAGGGGCTGTGGGTCAGCCTGGGGCCTCTTCTCCACTAGATCAAGGTGATGGGTTAGATCTCATGATAAGAACACAAGAAACCCTGAAGGGAACATCTTTTTTGCCTCCCAGGTTATATCTCTTTTCCTCATACTCACTATCTTTCAATACATTAAATAATTTTTGACTTTTCACTTATAGAAATGCTGCATGTATTTAGTCTGGACTTTTTATAAAAATTACTCATCATTAGAACAAAGCAAGTGCATCTTTAATCTGCATTTTCCTTGATTTCAAACTGCTCAGGTTATTGAAAACTAACTTTGAAGCTGAACCTGGGGGAGCACTTGCCTAGCATGAACAACGCCCTGGGTTCCATCCCAATACCAACCCCATCCCCTGAAAAAAAAAAAAAAAAAGGCTTTGGCTTTAATTAACTTGCATAACTTGCAGGTTCCAGGTTGCTGCAGCAAGGACTCTGAAGAAGATAGACACCCGATCATTATAGTGCAAAACTAATGGCTATAGCTGTGGTTGAATAAAACTTTACTTTTAATAATATGCATTTACCAACCCCCGATTTAAGTCAGTCTAAGCCCATGGTGCTTCCTGGTCTCCCTACTCACTATGGGGACCAGCAGGAGACACAAGAATGAAGAGGATGTATATCTACAGACAGGGTTCATACTGAGACACAAAACAAGCTATCCCAATACACCCCACAGAAAGTCAGAAACGCCACAGCACTCACCACCACCACCACCCAGTTTTGTTTACTTGACTGTCTGTGTGAAGCACTGGACCAGGAATGCTAGAGGTAAATGACAATTCCTATTAACTAGAACTCTATCCATTATACAGTATCTGAAGGCTCTGAATAAGGAAGAAAGCCCATTCTGGGAATCCTAAAGCTGTGGTCCCCTGTATTGATAAGCATTGACATACTCAACAATGGCATCTCGATCCGCTATGTCCCCAAGCACCATGCGCTGAATGATACTGTTGTGCTCCTCTTCAGAGAGATTTTTGTATGACACAAGGGGTATGTTATACTTTGTGGCTGGTGAAGGGTCCACTCCCTGAAGCCATGGATGGTTTTCGATTTCTTCTAGAGAGGCCCTCCTCTTGGGATCTCTTTGTAGCATCCGTGTGATTAAGCTGGAAAGGAAGGTACATCCATTGTTAAAGCACACTGCTTGCAAGATTAAGGTGGCAAATTATTTTATTAATAATAATTATTTCCTATACCCCCACCATAAATTTAATTAGGTCCCTAGTGGTAGAAGGGGCAAAGATGGGAATAGCGAGAATTTAGTGTCATTATATTTGTAAAATAAAAAATCATGACCTCCAGATATAATGATAAGTAAGCCAAACACACAAATATAGTTTCTCTACCATCTAATGCTAGATACCAAAATCTGCTCCTGAATTAACAGGCTTAATGAAATATCAGAACCAGACACAATGATCATCAATGACAAACAAAATAGAGTACACTAACCAACTTCTTTCTCAGGAAGAATGAATGACCCTCTTGATGAAAACAACTAAATACCATGGAATGTATTTTTAGAAATATATTTTGTTAGCTGGGTGTGGTGGTGCACACTTGTAATCCCAGCAGCTCAGGATGTATTGGGGTTGTATTGGGATAGCTGAGGCAGGAGGATCGCGAGTTCAAAGCCAGCCTCAGCAAAAGTGAGGCACTAAGCAACTTGGTGAAACCCTAAGTTGAATCCCTGGTAGCTACGTACCCCCCCCACCACCAAAAAAAGAAAGAAATATATCTTGTTTAAAGCATTTTGTTAGTAAGAAAACAAACAAACAAAACCAAGAAATACTTAGCAACTAAAAACAGAATGAAAGGAGGACCTTTAGGAGATGAATGCCAAAGCTAGTTTTTGCCTGTTCCTGCCTAGGTTCTGAAGGCTACGTTGGGTGCATGTAACAGAACGTGTAGGGACTACTAATGATGGTATAAGAGCCCTTGCAAAGAGCTAGGACCAAACCTCAGTATAAGAGTGAATGAGGGGCTGGGGATGTGGCTCAAGCAGTAGCGCGCTCGCCTGGCATGCGAGCGGCCCGGGTTCGATCCTCAGCACCACATACAAACAGAGATGTTGTGTCCGACGAAAACTAAAGGAAATAAATATTAAAAAATTCTCTCTCTCTTAAAAAAAAAGAGTGAATGAGAAGGAAATCCACTGTTCAGAAGAGGTTAAGAAGAAAACTTGCCTGCCTCAATATTGACTATGGAAGAAGGGTGGGTGAGAATTCCTTCTAAGAACTTGTAACTGTAAGCTTAACTGGTCTTCACACAAATCCGTGAATCAAACTAATGATATCAGCTAGAGAAGTAAATACACAAATCCTTACCATTGGAATAGAAATTAAAACCAAGCCTCAGAATTCCCCAAATATTACAAAGAGCAACACAGTCAGAAAACACAAAGGACGCAAGACACCAGTAACAAGACCCAAGAAATACAGAGCAAAATCAGAATGGAAATGCTTCAAATACAGAAATATCAGACACAGAACATAACTGAGTTAAATATGTTTAAGAGAAGCTTGAAAATATGACCAGGCAAAAATAGACCATACAAAATTATACTATGCAGTCTTGGGAAAACAAACAAACAAAAAACCTAAATAAGGCTTCTAAAGGTAAAAAATAAAAATAATCATTGTAACCTTAAAAAAATCATATCAAATTTTTCAAACTACTTATAAAGAGAATTAATGAACTGAAATACAAGGTCTAAGAAAATGATAGGAGTATAAGAGAGGAACAGATAAGGAGGACAGAGTGAAAATATCTAACATATATCTAATCAGAGTTCTAGAAGGAAATGAGAAAATGGAAAAGAAACTGCATTTGAGAAGATACTAGCTAAGAATTTTCCAAATTTACATAAGGACACAAGTCATGAACCAGGAAGCCCAACATATCCTAAACACAATAAGTAGAAGATCTGAAAACAGTCTGAAAGGAAAGACAAAACACATACACAGAGACAACAGTAAGATAACTGACTTTTCAACAAGAACAATGGATGTCAGAAAATACAAGAACATATTCAGTGAGCTGAGTAAATTGGTGAGAGGAATATGTGAATAAAATTATGAGACATACTATGTAGATCCTAAAATAGTGTGCTGATTGATCTCTTCTGAACTAACTATTCTCTGGAACTTAAAACAACTACAACAATTCCAATTGGTCTTGCTTTTTGTGGCTGCAGAAAAACACTGCTTTCATGGCAAGTCTTCACTTTGATTGAAGTGAAGTAACTGCCACTTCTGTAGACTAAAGAGACATATAATGGATTTCTTGAAAATAAACATTTAAGAAATATATGAGTACATTTTGTAATCTTTTATATTGGATTTCAAATCAAATTCTGGAGCTAACCCTCCCCCTAAAAAGTCTCAACAAAAGAAAAAAATATGATCAAAAATTTAAATAAACCTAGATACTGCAGCCATCTCATAATTTCTTGACATGTTAATGGCATTAGATAAAATTCCTTGTTGTAACATTAGTTCTTAATATTTCCACATACTTTTTTTTTTTTTACTTACTCTTTACATTCTTTAGACACATGGGATGGTACTGTGTATTTGCAATCCATGATCATTGTCAATGTTTCACTGTCATTGGCCTCTTGAAATGGTGGTTGCCCACATACCAACATGAAAAGGATCACTCCCAGACTCCATATATCTACAAATCAAAAACATATTTTTAAATATTGGACTAGTTAGAAAACCAAAAACACTAAGAAGAGTAAAAGTAGACTAACAATATTATTTCATTTTGAGCAGTCAAAAGCATTTATATCTCAAAGTAAAAATAACTAGGAAAGAAAACTTAAGCCTAAATAGGGCCAGGAAGGTATGTATCTTCTTCACTGAATTCTTTTAAGGTCCTAATCAAGTGCCAGTACATAGTGAATGGTCAATAAATGTTCAATGAAGAGATGAATTAATTTTTGTTACTAACAAGAATATCTACTGGGAAATACCTATCTAGCTTTTAGATCAAAGGACAAATACACTGCCTTTTCCCTTTACAATGTATGCCAGAGCTAAAACTAAGACATTAGTATCTGAAACCTGAAAAGGATTTTACCTAAGGTCACATTATCTCAATTGTTCTTTTTTTTCTTTTAATTTTTTATTGTTGGTTGTTCAAAACATTACATAGTTCTTGATATATCATATTTCACACTTTGATTCAAGAGGGTTATGAGCTCCCATTTTTACCCCATATACAGATTGCAGAATCACATCAGTTACACATCCATTGATTTACATATTGCCATACTAGTGTCTGTTGTGTTCTGCTGCCTTTCCTATCCTCTACTATCCCCCTCCCCTCCCCTCCCCTCTTCTCTCTCTGCCCCCTCTACTGACATTCATTTGTCCCCCTTGTATTATTTGTCCCTTTCCCCTCACTTCCTCTTGTATGTACTTTTGTATAACTCTGAGGGTCTCCTTCCATTTCCATGCAATTTCCCTTCTCTCTCCCTTTCCCTCCCACCTCTCATCCCTGTTTAATGTTAATCTTCTTCTCATGTTCTTCGACCCTACTCTGTTCTTAGTTACTCTCCTTATATCAAAGAAGACATTTGGCATTTGTTTTTTAGGGACTGGCTAGCTTCACTTAGCATAATCTGCTCTAATGCCATCCATTTCCCTGTAAATTCTATGATTTTGTCATTTTTTAATGCAGAGTAATACTCCATTGTGTATAAATGCCACATTTTTTTTATCCATTCATCTATTGAAGGGCATCTAGGTTGGTTCCACAGTCTTGCTATTGTGAATTGTGCTGCTATGAACATCGATGCAGCAGTGTCCCTGTAGCATGCTCTTTTTAGGTCTTTAGGGAATAGACCGAGAAGGGGAATAGCTGGGTCAAATGGTGGCTCCATTCCCAGCTTTCCAAGAAATCTCCATACTGCTTTCCAAATTGGCTGCACCAATCTGCAGTCCCACCAGCAATGTACAAGTGTACCCTTTTCCCCACATCCTCGCCAGCACTTGTTGTTGTTTGACTTCATAATGGCTGCCAATCTTACTGGAGTGAGATGGTATCTTAGGGTGGTTTTGATTTGCATTTCTCTGACTGCTAGAGATGGTGAGCATTTTTTCATGTACTTGTTGATTGACTGTATGTCCTCCTCTGAGAAGTGTCTGTTCAGGTCCTTGGCCCATTTGTTGATTGGGTTGTTTGTTCTCTTATTGTCTAATTTTTTGAGTTCTTTGTATACTCTGGATATTAGGGCTCTATCTGAAGTGTGAGGAGTAAAGATTTGTTCCCAGGATGTAGGCTCCCTATTTACCTCTCTTATTGTTTCTTTTGCTGAGAAAAAACTTTTTAGTTTGAGTAAGTCCCATTTGTTGATTCTAGTTATTAACTTTTGTGCTATGGGTGTCCTATTGAGGAATTTGGAGCCTGACCTCACAGTATGTAGATCGTAGCCAACTTTTTCTTCTATCAGACGGCGTGTCTCTGATTTGATATCAAGCTCCTTGATCCATTTTGAATTCACTTTTGTGCATGGCGAGAGAAAGGGATTCAGTTTCATTTTGTTGCATATGGATTTCCAGTTTTCCCAGCACCATTTGTTGAAGATGCTATCCTTCCTCCATTGCATGCTTTTAGCCCCTTTATCAAATGTAAGATAGTTGTAGTTTTGTGGATTGGTTTCTGTGTCCTCTATTCTGTACCATTGGTCCACCCGCCTGTTTTGGTACCAGTACCATGCTGTTTTTGTTACTATTGCTCTGTAGTATAGTTTGAAGTCTGGTATCGCTAGACCGCCTGATTCACACTTCTTGCTTAGCATTGTTTTTGCTATTCTGGGTCTTTTATTTTTCCATATGAATTTCATGATTGCTTTCTCTATTTCTACAAGAAATGCCATTGGGATTTTGATTGGCATTGCATTAAACCTATAGAGAACTTTTGGTAATATCGCCATTTTGATGATGTTAGTTCTGCCTATCCATGAACAGGGTATATTTTTCCATCTTCTAAGATCTTCTTCTATTTCTCTCTTTAGGGTTCTGTAGTTTTCATTGTATAAGTCTTTCACCTCTTTTGTTAGGTTGATTCCCAAGTATTTTTTTTTTTGAAGATATTGTGAATGGAGTGGTTGTCCTCATTTCCATTTCAGAGGATTTGTCGCTGATATACAGGAATGCCTTTGATTTATGCGTGTTGATTTTATATCCTGCCACTTTGCTGAATTCATTTATTAGCTCTAATAGTTTCTTTGTAGACCCTTTTGGGTCTGCTAGGTATAGAATCATGTCATCTGCAAGTAGTGATAATTTAAGTTCTTCTTTTCCTATTTTTATGCCTTTAATTTCTTTCGTCTGTCTAATTTCTCTGGCCAGTGTTTCGAGAACTATGTTGAACAGAAGTGGTGAGAGAGGGCATCCCTGTCTTGTTCCAGATTTTAGAGGGAATGGCTTCAATTTTTCTCCATTCAGAATGATGCTAGCCTGAGGCTTAGCATAGATTGCTTTTACAATATTGAGGTATGTTCCTGTTATCCCTAGTTTTTCTAGAGTTTTACCTCAATCCTAGTGAAGTAATTAAGTCATTCAACTCATCTTCACTTTATGGAGATTAAAGCTCAGAGACAAGCAAAATATGGCTGTTGAGGAGGAAAGACTGTGTCACTAGATGGCAGAACTAGGACCCAAGGTTTAAGCAACCAAAAGGCACACTTCAGCTTAACAACAGTGGGAGCCACTCAATACAGCCACTCAATGAAACTATTAAAACACTAGAAAATGAAGTTTCCCATCATTGAAAATATTCAGCTAAGGCTGGGCAAACTTCTAGTAGTCAGCATAAGGATTCCTACTGCAATGAGAAGGCTGGACTAGCTGATGTTGGAGGACCCTCCCCAAACAAGCATTAGGGTGATACCTACAACAAATCACTTCCTACCTCTGGCCATTAAAAAGAAACAAACCTATCAAAGAGATAGAAAAAAAATGTGTATTTTTTTAGATGAAAATGTATGTTTTTTTTGATAGAAAGGATTTAGGAAGGAGTTCACAAATTCATTCATTCCAGAAAATAAAATATAGACACAATAATATAAACATCCACATAACAAAAAAAGAATCCAAGATTTCTAGAAAGGCTTAAAAGAGAATCGAGGGGCAGGACACATGACCTTTGTCATCACATTTGTTAACACTTAACTACTGTTTACAAGTAAGTGAAAACACTCAAAATAATGTAGGCTCCCTACTAAGTGCACTAAAATTTATTAATAAAATATCTACCTTGGTTCAAACTGAACAAAGAAGGTAACAAAGGCAGGAACCAAAAAGTTATACACAATCTGATATTTTAAATATACAATAAATTTTAGTAATGATGCTCTAATGGATATTAGTGAAAGAGATGAAAAAAATATTTTAAAATTAAAACATTAATATAAATGAGGATGAAAGAGACCTATGGATCTCTCAGTCCAAACTCTTGGCTCTATAGGGTTCCTAGGAAGTCTGTGTGGCACTGCTAGTAGGATGCATGAATTATCTGACCTACTGTCTCAGGGCAGCAAGCTGGCTCAGGAGTCTACCCCACTCACCGACTGTCATTTCTCAGTCTTAACCTTGGAATTCAGAGGAACATACCCTTTCAAAATCAAACAATCTGAATAATGACAATTGGTCACAGTTATTCTTTTAATAACCAGTGAAAACCCAATTCTAATAGAACCTTATTGAGATACTTAAAGGAAATTTTGTTGCTGTTGCACTTAAACTCTTTTTGTACAACTTGAACCTGCTATTTGTGGTACCTGCCCCAAATCCCAAGCCACCACTGTGAACAAATGGCAATTATAATTATTTTCCTTTATTGCACGCTGTCCCTCATTTTACAAAACAATTATGTTCTAGAAATTGACTATAAAGTAACTCTTATCTTTCCACTGATGATCCATTTCACAGAACGGAAATTTATCAAGTTTTTGTTTACAATATATAAACTTTGCTATCTCTCCCCCTTCCATCAAAGAAAGGACTTTAAATGATATTATAACAAAAATGCAAAAACATTAAAACCTGGGCAGTTAAAATGAAAACTCTTCTTTCTTCTATTGTTCAAATGCCAAAAACCTTTAATGCTACTTCTATCATCAGACCTAACCACTAATACATAGTATTTGATATATAATAAATCCATCTTTCCATAAAAATCCTACAAAACAACAACTTATATGAGTTTATTTATATTATTTCCTCTACCATCTCATACTATAACTGTGGATAAATGAGTCTTATTCTTTACTTTTTATGATAAACTGGAGTTGACATCTGAAGTTGTAATTATACAAAACTGATGTTGTAAAAATATAATGAATAATGTAACTATCAACTAGCAATTACACAAAATCCTTATTTGATTTAAGAAAACTTTTTCTGTTAAATTTTAACCTAACAAGCAACAAAAATTCCAACAATTTAGAAATATTCTCTTTGCTCAAGAAAATTAACACCCACTGCTGGTTATAAAGCGATACATAATTAGAAGAGCGTAAAGAAAAGCAAAAAAGCGCGCGCGCGCACACACACACACACACACACACAATTTCCACTGTTTCCCATTAAAGTTCAAATAATTTTTGAACATGGAAATGCTTAAAAGTTGAGAAATTTAGAAATAAAATTCTATATCAAATTCTT